TCTGTATCTCGTGGCAGGCGTGCCACCCGCTCCCATTTCATTTATCTTTTGGCAGGCGTGCCACCCGCTCCCATTTCATATATCTTGTGGCAGGTGTGCCACCCGCTCCCATTTCATATATCTCGTGGCAGGCGTGCCACCTGCTCCTATTTCATATATTTCCATGGCGGCGTGCCACCCAATCCTAGTTATAAACCAACAATAATCACAAAGAATCCCGGCAAGGGAACAAGGGTAATATAACAACTTCCCGACAAGTGAACAATGATATTTCAATAATATTCCGGCAAGGTAACAATAATTTCAAACAAACATCCCGGCAAGGGAACAATACTATCAAAGCAAACATCCGGCAAGGGAACATTAATATCAAAACAAACATCCCAGCAAGGGAACAATGATGATAATAACATATGAAGCGCAATAAACAACAACAGAGTCATAACAATTATAATACAAGACTCATGGGCATGCTTGAACCAACGTATCGATACTCGTCACCAAGCCTAAACGTCGTACTCCACAATTAACACGTAATAAATAAGACACGACTCCTAATCCCTCAAGCTAAGGTTAGACCAAACACTTACTTCTATGCCACGAACACACTTCACGTTTCAATTATAGTTTTACCCCTTGATTCTACCACTAATTCGCTCGAATCTAGCCACAAGTTACTTAATTACATCAATAAACGCTAAATGAATCAACCCCAATGCATGAAAATGAGTTTTCCAAAGTTTTACCCAAAAAATAAAAAATCTTCCCCGTGCTCACATGGTCAAAACCCGAGGTTCGAACCAAAACCCGATTACCCATTCCCCCACGAACCCAAATATATAATTTGTTTTGAAATCGGACCTCAAATCGAAGTCCAAATCCCTAATTTTTTGAAAAACCTAGGTTCTACCCAAAACAACCCAATTTTCCCCATGAAATTTATTGATTTTGAGTTGAAATCATGTTAAAAGATGTTAATAATTGAAGAAAATGAGTTAAAATTAACTTATAATCGATTTGGAAGAAGAGTTGTTCTTGAAAAATTGCCCTAGGGAGTTTGTGTTTTGAAAAGATGTGAAAATGGGTTTAAAATTCGTCTAAGTATAAAAGTTGCAGGTCTCAGATGTGGGAATTGCGAACAGGGGTTCGCAATGCTGGCTCGGTAATTGTGAAATAGGGCTCGCATTTGCGAACCCTTCAGGAAATTTGGGCTTTTGCATTTGTGATAAAAAATGTCGCATTTGCGACTTCAAGCATTTCCAGCATACATCGCATTTGCGAAGGCACACTCGCATTTGCAAGGTCGGAATTGCGAGGAACATCTCGCATTTGCGAAGAAGGGGCAAGCCTGGGTTGGTTCGCATTTGCAACCAAGCCCTCGCATTTACGATACCGCATTTGCGAGCTAGTCTTCGCAAATGCGAAGCCTGCTCGTCTGATTATACCCGAAAAAATCTTGCAATTGTTTTGTTCAAAATGCACCCTATGGCCTCTCCAAAACTCACCCGAGCCCTTGGGGCTCCAAACCAAATATACACCCAACCTCAAAAACATCATACGGACTTATTCGTGTAATCAAATCACCAAAATAACATCATGAACATCGAATTAAACCTCAAGATCAATGAAATTTCTCAAAACTTCTTTAAACATCAAATTTTGCATTTAAGGTCCGAATCACGTCAAATGAATTCCATTTCTTACCAAACTTTACCGACAACATATATAAATCATATTGAACCTGTACCGGGCTCCGGAACCATAATACGTCCCGATACCACAGGTTTCACATAACATTTCACTTTCAAAAACTTTATATTTTTCAGAAAACAACATAAATTCATTTCTCGGGCTTGGGACCTCGGAATTCGATTCCGGGCATACGCCCAAGTCCCATATTTCTCTTCGGACCCTACAGGACTATCAAATCACGGGTCCGGGTTCGTTTATCCAAAACGTTGATCGAAGTCAAATTAATTCATTTTATAGTAAAAAATTATCATTTTTCATAGATTTTCACATATAGGCTTTCCGGCTACGCGCCCGGACTGCATACACAAATCGAGGTGATGCTAAAAGAGGTTTTTAAAGCCTCAGAATGCAGAATTCATTTTAAAAACAAGTGATGACCTCTTGGGTCATCACAACATCTCCCGTTATAGAGGAATACAATTTATCTACAATTTTCTTCAACTTTCACACATTATTTCCACCCAATGAAATACAACTACAATAACATAAAACTTACATACAAATTTTATACAAAATTTATACAATATGTCTTTTGTATATTTTATATCTGATTCATACATAGTAAAAATAATTTTCATACAACTAATTATAAATTATACAACTTATCTACAATTTTCGTACATTATTTCTACTAAGTTATATACAACTACAATATAATACCACTTAAATATAATTTTTATACAATGTTGTTCAACTTTCATACAATAGTTAAATGAATAAAAAAAGGATAACAGAATACAATTTTTCTACAATTTATGCAATATAATGTTTGTCATGTATTCTTCTTCTTCTTCTTCTTCTTCTTCTTCTTCTTCTTCCAAAATTCAGCCAAAACCAAGTCTAATCTTCACCAAAACCTCTCAAAATTGAGATATAAACTCCAAATCATATTTCCAATTATATGCAACAATACCCAATCCAAACAAATAATGATTTTTGAAAACCCAAATTTGAATTCAAAGCTTCAGAGCTTTTTAATGGTTGTTAATGGTGGAATTGCTACTCTTTTTTTCCTCTGCTTTGTATTACTGAAATTTGGACATAATTGCGTTTGATGTAGAAGAATTGTAGAAGATTTAGTCGTTTTTGATTTGTGAAATCAGAAAAAAGTTTGAAACACAGTGTATCGAAAAAGCAAAGACGCTAAATTTGAAACGAAACTGACGAAGAAGATTAATGTGCGTGATTTGCGTTGTGGAAGATCTGGAAGAATTGTAGAAGATTTAGTCGTTTTTGATTTGTGAAATCAGAAAAAAGTTTGAAACACAGTGTATCGAAAAAGCAAAGACGCTAAATTTGAAACGAAACTGACGAAGAAGATTAATGTGCGTGATTTGCGTTGTGGAAGATCTGGAAGAATTGTAGAAGATTAATGTATTTTCTATACTATGTAGAAATACTATTAGCATGAAGGGTAATATACCAACTATCAACAACAACAACAACAACTCAGTATAATCCCATTTAGTGGGGTCTGGGGAGGGTAGTGTGTACGCAGACCTTACCCCTACCCTAGGGCAGAGAGACTGTTTCCAAATAGACCACCGGCATCCTTCCCTCCAAGAACTTCCCACCTTGCTCTTGGGGAGACTCGAACTCACAACCTTTCGGTTGGAAGTGGGGGTTGCTTACCATTAGAGCAACCCCTCTTGTCTGATGGTAAAATAAAATAAGGTGGGGCTACTGATTCAGCAAACTACCCACACGTGCTCGCGGAACTTGTGTAGCTGTTTGGGCCTTTAGAATGGCTCAGAAGTTTCCTTTATTTACCAAAACTATGTGATGGCATTTAGTGTAATAATATGCAAAAGCAATGGCAAATATGTTACCGGTGAAGCAGGGATGTCAGCGAAGAGGAGCCTGCTTCACCTGTTTCTACGGCTCTTCTTATATAGGAGAATATTTTTACATTAATTTAAAGAGATTGGAAGAATGAGCTCTTACGTCATTATTGTCGGCTCGTATTAGGATTGTGTTTAATTTTATGGACCATGATTTTCTTTTTATAACACTGCGTAGGGGTGTACATAGGTCGGGTTGGTTCGGATTTTACAATTACCAAACCAAACCAATTGTATCGGGTTATTAAATCTAAAGACCAAACCAAACCAATAAAATTCGGGTTTTTCAATCTCGGGTTTTCTCGGGTTTTCGGGTTATTCGGATTTTTTCGATTTTTTTCCGGTAAAATCTTCGTAGAACAAAACATATAACTTGTGCTCAAAATACTTTTTCTTACTCCTAGAGTCCTAGTAAGATACAACTATATAAAGTATTTTTCAAAAAAATAATACAAAATATGATATGTGTCATGGCATTATCCTAAAATATTCAACAATAAAGACAATAAAATTATGTAATATAAATATTGTTAATTAAAAAGCCATAATATAAATAAACATAATCTAAAAGTACTAAGTCATGTTAAAATAAGTAGACTAATAAGGGAGTATTAATTACATGACTAAACGCTAAAGAAAAAATAAAAATAAGTTACGCATTTTTATCTAAATTATTGCGAAACAAAAAATAGCTATTCAATACATTTCCGTTCGAGGTATTAAATTGAATTCTTTTGTTAGTATTAGTATTGATTTGCTTTTGGTTTGGGCTTTTCTTAGCATTATTTAATTTACTTATATTAATGGCTATAAAACTTATTGGAACACTCAAAAGTTCTAAGTTCAACCTTGAAATAATACCTTAAAAGATAAAATTATGAAAAAATTTAAGAAATATTTATAATTTACATTACAATAAATATATTTACATATTAAATATATCTAAAAATTTTACATATGTAATGTCGGGTTGGTTTGGTTTCGGTTTGACTTTCTTTAGTTAAAACCAAACCAAACCAATTATGGTCGGGTTTTTTTTTCCAACACCAAACCAAATCAAACTAAAACAATAGTCAATTTTTTTTTCTCGGTTTGACTCGGATTATCGGATTTGTGCGGTTTGTCGGTTTCCTTTGTACACCCCTAACACTGTGAATCACCATTGATAACAAACAATAAGTATAAAACCTATAATGCACTTTTACAGAAGAACGACAACTGTCTTCGTAATCACATCACCTCACGTGCCTGTAGAGTCAGGGAAGATATTCTTATATTAAGGAAGGACGGTCTTTCCAAAAGACATGAATGCAAATAAAAAATATCTACTGGATAAGCTTCATGACCGGGAGGTTGTGTAGTCAATGGGCAACAGGTGAATATTCCAGTACTGTCCTTGTTTGTCCAGAGGGACGAAGAAGGCTAGGTCAGTCGAAAGATAGTTATCCGTTTAAGAACGTAAGATGTCCTTGCTTTTTCAAAGTAAGAAGGGGATAGAGAAAATGCCTCGAGCCAATATTTGAATACCAGGCACTACAGTGCTGAAGTAACCCATGCCATACTCCTAGGAAAAACTCGAACGACTTTGAGCAAGAGGCATTAAGGTGTCTCGAATTAATGTGGAGCATGGATAATCCACAAACAGATGTTGATTTGTTCCACTACTTGATCAACACATAAACTACATTTGTCTTCATCCCCCTGTATGTGAAGATTAGTTAGCCTTTCCTTAGTGAGCAATCGAGCAGTCTACATTAGTATTCTGAACACAATAAATAACATATATTGTTCAAGCCAATACGAATGATTCAGTTCAACCCACAAAACTAGCACTAAATCCACTTCTATTTTATTGCCACACAAGATCTTGGAACTTCAAAGATGAATAAGAAAGTATTCATTTAGTAGCTGCAGCTGCAGCTTGAAAGCGAGCTTTAAAATGGGCAAGCAACTCATCTCTTGGAGGCAGATATTCCTTATTTTGGCTGCAGCTTATGTATTCATCTCTCCACGCACAAAAATTTGGAAATTTTTCTCTTGTAGCCAAAACAACACCAGATGCTTCTTCAAGAACTCCCAGCCAAAGTGCCGCAGCATTTGCAGCAATATCAGCGAATCCAAATTTGTCACCGATAAAGAACTTCTTATCCTTGAGCTCATTATCAAGAACTTTCAGCATCTCAAAAACTTCCTCTTTAGCTTTCTCTTGCTCCTCTCCTTTTAGAAAGAAAGATCTCCCAACTGATGCCCCCTGCAAATTTAGAACACTCAAAACTTATATTTCAATAAGAATTTCACTAAATTCTGCAGATAGGAAGAGGAATTTACCACTACTACAAACTTCAATCCAAGCAAGTTGGAATCTGTTATATGAATCTTTATTGATGATATTACCTTATTTGAGCTCATCTAAGTCCAATATTATACAAAATATAAAGGTACTAGAAGTATACTATATTTTCTATCGGCATATAAATCTCTAAGATGGAAAGACTCGTAGAAAAACCCTTCAGTAAACGTATTGGTATGACTAAAATATATTTCTAACTAATTTGAATATATAGAACTGAAAAGAATATACCTTTTCTTCAAAAAACTTAGCCCAGAAACGAGCTATAGCACGGTCATAAGAGTCTTTAGGTAAAATGGAAGGGCCTTCAAATGTCTCGTCAATGTATTCAACAATGATCATAGACTCAGAAATGGGCTTTCCATTGTGAATGAGAACAGGGATTTTCTTGTAAACAGGGTTGGATTGAAGAAGCAGAGAGCTCTTGTTTGGTAGATCTTCTTCTATAAATTCATATTCCACTCCCTTAAACTTAAGAGCCCACTCAACTCTGTGACTATAAGGGCTATACCAAAGACCAAGCAACTTCACTTCTGCCATCTCACACGTCACAAATTTGGTTCTCAATTTTTTGCTAATTTACTATGTTGGTCGATGAATTTTATGTGGTGGTTCTGATCTCTTGAACTTTGATCTTCTTTTTGTAGAGGTAAAAATTAGGAAGTGTCTTTTTAACCAAGCAAATGCAACTTTTCTTCTTTGACAAATCAATCTTTTTTTGGTTTGTGCTTCCATATTGACTGAAGACTATTAATAAGCACGCCTTAAAATTTTAGGAAGTTGAAGGTTCTATTTATTTAATAATTTTTTTTAATCAATAGATAATATGCGATCCAACTCCTCTCCATTTCTTAATATCTCCATTTCTCTAAGTTCCTACGATTTGAGACACTTGTTATAGTTAACAATCAATGAATGAGTTTTAATAAAATAAATTAAAGCCCTAATCATGGTTAATTAAAGTGTTTAATTTCTTCTTTTGTCCATTTCTAAATAATATCTTTTGTCTCTTATAACAGTGAACTTCGTATAATTCTACAACTCTTTTCCCTCTAGTTTTTCTTGCTACTGCTCTTATTCTTTGCTTTCTGAGATGTTACTTTAGAATATGTTGCTTTATTCAAGTTGTTGTGTAGTATGTAAGATTATCTAATATTCCTTCTTTCTTTGTTGTAGTAATTTTCTTTGTGAGTTAATTTTTATTTTACTTCTAAAAAATCTTCTTATATTCTCATTAAAAATGAGAAATAGATCATAATCGTTGCTAGATATTAAATGATTTAATCTTTTTTTTCACTATTCTGAATATGCAAAATTTAGTTCCTTGTGGTCTAGCCCTTTCCCGGACCTCGCATGTAACAGGAGCTTAGTGCACCAAGCTGCCTTTTTTTTCCTTTCTGAATATGCAAAATAAAGAGAAATGGCAACTCAAGTGGAGCTTCCAAATGTATTTGGACGAAAACTTTTCACTTAATAATGATTAGTTGGTAATTTCTCTTCTCACTGCGAGTAATATTTACCATTAGATTGGTGCTCCACGTTGAGAGTCACTTTGGATTAAACTTCGGATGCCAATTATTGATTTTTAAAACATATTTTCTGTGTTGTAGGTATGTTATTAGTGGTGAGTACACCAACATAAAACTGGAACACAATCTGAGAATTCTTCACCTATCACTTCTATATTAACTTTGGTAATCACAAGGTTAATGTTTCATCAGTGTTAAACTCTATAGCTAATAATGCCAAAGAGTGTTTTATAAATACTCTCTAATTAAACAAAAGAAACAAGAAATTCACAAGAATTAACAGATTAAGTATAAGATAACTACTAATTTAGTTGTCATTGTTAAATAAAGATCTGGAGATATTTAAAATTGGAGAAGATACTCGAAATATCATTCAGTTTAAATAGAGCATGCTTAATTATGATTACACTTTAATGAATCCAAAAGTTAAAGCTAACAAAATATATGGTTCAAGTGTTGGATGAAGAACTATCAGCATGGTTGTATAGGCTAAAATTGATTTATATCAAATGCTCTAATAATTACATGACACGTGGAATAAGAGGCAGACGGAAGATGAAGCGAGTGAGAACCAAGACCGAGGATAACAACTTCAGTTGATATCGGGTGGATCCCGAAGGGAACATAGTCAATGGAGGCAAACAAATGTTTGTTATCGAATGACATTTAATGAAGATTATTCCTCAATATTATATATGTTGTTGTTGCTGAGAATTTTGACATTCATGGTCTGCCGTTACACATTCATCAACGGCCCGATTATTGTCATTTAAGAGGGGCTTGATCCTAAGATCTTGTTCCCTAGGTATAGCTATAAAAAGGGACTCGAACAACTATTGTAACAGACGAAATCGCTGGCAATACGTATGCTATAATTTACTATCAAGCTGAATAATATACTTCACTTTTTGTCTAGTATTACTCTTGTTGCTGTCTTCGGAAGCCTTGCTCCCGGAACCAGGCTTGCTGTTTCTTTCAATTTCAATGCTAAGTCTTTTTTTTATTTAATTTATTTATTATTTTGGGATCAAATCAATTCCCTTGTCTATAAACCACGTAACAAATTTAACCGTATTATTAGGTAAACAGTTTGGCGCCTACCGTGGGGCTTAGACAGCTGCGTAATTCAGTTGATCCTTTCGTCTATTACTAACTTGTTTGATTCTTTATTTCATAGCAAAATCGAAAAAATGGCAGCTAACTATGTAAACATCACACAAAATGTTGAGGCACACGAAAATCTGCCTCAACATAAGGATTCAATCAATGACACCCGCAACAAGAGGGCGTGCCAATTTCGGTACATGACGGGAAATATCCCCGACTTGTGTGGGAGACAACTCCTAATAATGCTTTGGACGAGCACATTGCGAAAACAGTAAGGATCTTAAGAGAGCAGCAAAAGGACATTATGGGCTATCTCTCAAGGCAAGACCAGGTTATGGCAGAGCGGAAGCAGGCATTGTCAGGCGCTTCGAACAACGCGAATGGTAGAGGCCCTGTTCCTCCCGAAGCTCCTGCAAATCAAACAGCTCAAAGAATTGATAACAACACCTCGAGGGGTAAGGTCAGCTTCGACAGAGCTGGGGGATTAGCAACGGATCCGATAATGACAACGACAATGGTCCCTTTAAAACCAAACTCATGATATTCATAAGGGAAATGAATGCGGAATTGGTTTCCAGCAGTAGAGGGAAGGAACTCAACACATAGCAATCACAGGAACTGACGCATGCTCCTAAGCCAAGAGAAGATGACAAAAGGGAGGAGTCATCGGAATCCCATCAGGTACCAAGATATTTTCAGGTACTGGAAGAAACAAATACAACCAAGTTCATGGCAGAAGAACTAGAACAAGTGGCTTTGTTCGAAAAAATCCTGGAGAGAAAATTTCACTTGGGGACAGGACTCAACCCCGAGCTCAGGTTAGGATTTATTGATTTTCTTAAAAATAACGTTGATTGTTTCGCATGGTTGCACGCTGATATGACAGGTATCCCGCTAGAGGTGGCCATGCACAAACTAAGCCTGGACCCAAGCATCCTACTGTAAGGCAGAAGAAACGCACAATAGGCAAGGTAAGAAACAAGTTTGTTAAAGAAGAGGTAACTTGGTTACTTGATATTGGTTCAATACGGGAAGTAAAGTATCCTGACTGGCTAGCTAACATAATTGTAGTTCCAAAAAAGAATAATAAATTTTGAATGTGCGTAGATTATAAAGATTTGAATAAGGCGTGCCCGAAAGACTCGTTTCCACTGCCAAACGTTGATCAAATGATTAATGGAATGGCCGGATAAACCTAGGGGATCAAGAAAACTTTGTTTATAACAAACTTTGACACATATTGTTACAATGTGATGTCTTTCGGGATTAAAAATGCCGGAGCCACTTACTAGAGGCTCGTGAACAAGATGTTTGAAAAATAGATAGGTAAAACAATGGAAGTAACATAGATAATATGTTGGCCAAGTCTTTGAATGCAGATGACCATTAAAAACATATCCAGGAGAATTTCGATATCCTAAGGAAGCACAACATGAAGATCAACCCCAAAAAATGCAAATCTGGAGTTAGCTCCGGTGAACTCTTGGGTTTCCTGACGTCACTGAGAGGGATCGAGGTAAATCCCGATAAGATCAAAGCTATCAATGACACAAAGGCTAACCGAGTGATTAGCCGCTCTAAGTAGATTCATTTCTCGGCCTTCGAAAAAATATCATCACTTTTTCTCACTTCTGAAGAAGAAAAACAACTTCGAATGGACTGCAGAATACCAACAAGCCTTAAAAGATCTAAAATGTTATCTATCAAGCACTCTGCTACTATTAAAACTCGAGGAATGCGAACAGTCGCTGATATGCTTAGCGGTCTTAGAGGTAGCGGTAAGTGTCGTTCTGGTCCGGGAGGATGCAAGTATGCAATCTCCTATCTATTATGTTAGCAAAATTTTGTCGGAGCGGAAACTCATTATCCGCACCTTGAAAAACTCGCCTTAGCTCTCTTAGTCACCTCTCGAAAGCTTAGACCTTATTTTCAGTGAAACCTGATAGCCGTGGTGACAACTTTTCCCTTGTGGAATGTCTTTCACAAACCTGAGTTGTCAGGTCGACTGGACAAATAGGTAGTTGAAATTAATGAATTTGATATTGAGTATAAACCTAGGACTACGATCAAGTCACAGGTTTTGGCCGACTTTGTGGCCGATTTTAGCATCAGGTTACTGCCGCTGGCTGCAAAAGATGCAATGATAGTGTCGAAAACAACATCAGGAGTTTGGAACTTGTTCACAGAGGGGGTTTCCAACGTGAAAGGGTCTGGGCTCGGGGTGGTATTAATCACGCCCTCGGGAAAAACCTTAAGGCAGGCCATAAAAGTTGTTCCATTTACTAACGAAGCTGAGTATGAGGCTTTGATTGTAGGACTTGAACTGACACGGTGGGATTGACTCCGAGGTTATTGAAATCAAATGTGATTACCAACTAGTAGTAAATCAAATATATGGAATCATTGACATAAAAGAGGAACACATACAACAGTATGTGATTAAAGTTCAAACTTTGCTCGCATGGTTCAGGGAGTGGTCGATCAGCCATATCCCGAGAGAATAAAATGCATAAGCAGATGCATTGGCCAATTTGGGATTGTCTACGGAGATAAAAGGATCAGATTCCGATACCGTCATTCAACTTATGCATTCAATTTTGGATGTGGACGGTTATTGTAAAGTAAATACAACCAACTTTGTCTGGGACTGGAGGAATGAGTTCATCGATTACCTTCAGCACGACAAGCTTCCCAAAGACCTGAAGGCATCCCGAGAACTAGTCACCAAAGAGGCTCGTTACAACCTCTATGGAGGGGGGCTCAGTTATATAGAAGGTCATTCCAAGTCCCGTTGGCCCGATGTTTAGGATCCTCGGAGACAGACTACGCCATGAGAGAGGTTCACGGAGGAATTTGTGGGAATCATTCCAGTGCAGATTTGTTGGTACTAAAATTAGTTAGGGCAGGATACGATTAGCCTCGGATGGAATAAGACGCGAATGCATTCATTAAGAAATGCGACAAGTGTCAATGTCATGCATAAATGGTGCACCAACTGGCAGAACTCCTGCATTCGATATTGTCCTCATAGCCATTCTTGAAATGGGGGATGGATATAGTCGGGCCGCTGCCCCCGGGTCTAGGTAAGGTAAGATTTCTT